AATAGCTATTGCTCTGCCTCGGCGGGGAGATGCCCAGGATGTTCCCAAATGTTGTCTCTGGTAGCAGGAGGGAGAGGGCACAGGAGGAAAGACGAGTATCTGCTTTCACATACCTCAGAGGTGTTGGGGTGGGGGGTGTTGAGTCCGTAGCAAAGAGATATTAACAACAGTTGTGTTACAATATGTGACCAGTACAAGTGGGTGCTCTGGGGCATCGGGATTGGGCTTACAGCCGCTCCCGCAGGGCACTTGATGGAGTTCAGATACAGTTCCCTCCTTCCCCAAACCACAGCCTGTCTCTTCAGGCAAGGGACTGATTCCACGTAATAAGTAAACGACCCGGGCAGCCACGATAAAACCCTTACTGTGCTCATGCTGCCGTCTCCAGCCAGATGTTGGCCAGCCCTTGGGTCACAGGGTCTTGACGTCTTTTTCTTTTCAGTTCCCCTTTTGCAGCAGCATAAGCAAATCTGGAGTCTTATTTATAACTTCTGGCATAGGCAAACAGAAGCAACGTCTGATCTCTTCCTACAGTTTCTTTCCCCTGGAACTCGCCACTCGCTGACCTGCTTGTTAATTCTGCTGAACGTGTGTTACTGTCAACTGCCGCAGCTGAGCTCAGCACTCCAGCAGAAACCCACACCCATCCCTTGTTTCTTTATTTTCCCACCCTGACGCACACAAGAAATGTCTTTGCTGCTGCTGTGTTCCACCTGGTTACAATTTTATGCCCTTTTTTCCTTTCCCCTTCAGCCTTCCTTCTTAGGACAGTCAGTTACACTGAGGCTATGTGTGCCTTTGTGCACGCACGTGTAGGATAAGGGCCCTGGAAGGAGTAGTCAGTTCTCCACTGTTGCACCCAGGTGTATCTAATGCCCATTTCCATACATTAAGCACATTCCTTCTTGAAGACAGTTTAGTTTCTCACCCACAAACCTGCAGATGTTATTCTAAAACCTGTGCTTAGAAACCTGGTTTTCAGCCTGCTCTTACTCAGGATCAGTTTAGCCTCTTGTGTGTGCGCCTGCACTCTTTAAGTGTCTCCTCTCCCCAGCGTTCTTTACTCCTCTCCACCTCTTTGAGAGCAAGCATTCCATTCTCAGGGAGCTTTGTGAAGCGAGTCAAGCTGAACTCTGTCAGTCTCTGTTCAGAAAGTCTCCGTCCTCCTTGTCCTTCTGTGGTCTTTCTTACACTGCAATTATCTTTGTGTGTGGATGGCCCAAGCTGACCTCAGCCTTCTAGATGCAGGCCTGTTTCTGCTGGAAATGCCTCAATTCACAGGTTGTTGCTTGCCTCATCCCTGACTGGACTTGATGTGGACAGTGCATTTATTGTATGCACCACGCGTGAGCTTGGGGAGGAAAAGATGATAAAATTTGCATAAAATGCACTTGGACCAAATGAAACATCTTTGCAGACTAAGCCTTTCTACTCTGCTCTCTTTCATTCCCACCTAGGATGAATCGGTGCAGCCATTAATGCAGCCAAGTAAAATCCATGTCCTCCTCTTGGTACTCCACGGAGGGAACATCCTGGACTCAGGAAGTGGTGACCAGAGCTCTAAGCAAGGGGACGTCAACACCATCACGACGGTGTTTGACACGGTGATGAGGGTGCACTACCCAGCTGCTCTCGGGCACATTGCCATCAGGCTAGTCCCGTGCCCAGCCATCTGCTCTGAAGCGTTTTCACTGGTCTCCAGGTAAGAGGATGTTACTGTGTCACGGAGAGAAACCTATAAAATTTCACTCTTGTTTCTTTTCTTGCGTCCCTGAAACGTTCTGCGTGTGGTATTGAAAGCTCTGACCACGCTTTGAGAATGCTCTCATTAATATACTAGCGAGGCATTCAATCTCGATTTCATACTTAGCTGCAGTGAATACAGCAATCATGCAGCAAGAGTTCTGAGATTGATTTATTCTAATTAATCCAATAAACACTGAGGCTTTAATTCCTTGTCTGAAGGTTGTTCTATCAATGTAAGTATGTTGTCCTTGAAGATTTACGTTTGATGGGAGTGAAGATTTATTAAGCTCTCACCCATTCACAGTGGAATAAATGGCTTTTATATCTCGAGGCTTTTTTTTTTTAATGAACCACAATACTGACTGTACTGTCTGCAGATGGTTTTCCCCACTCTGCACGTTAGGCTGAATAATTCCAAAGTCTCTTGCCCTATCCAGCCTCAGCCCATACAGTTATGACGAAGGCTGCCTGTCCAACAGCCAGGATCACATTCCCCTTGCTGCACTCCCTCTGCTAGCAACATCATCCCCACAGTACCAAGAAGCAGTAGCTGCGGTCATCGTCAGAGCCAACCAGGCCTACAGCGAGTTCATCAGGTCCCAGGAGGGCTTGTCTTTCAACGGGCAGGTGAGCCAGCCGCTGTTTATAGCCACAAAGAAAGGAAGACTGAGTGAAGCAATTTCCTTCTAAAGCTCTCTTTTCCATTAATCTCTCAGGAGGGATGGAAACATGACAGTGCTGAGCTGCAATAAGAAAGTATTGTGCTTCCATTTCTTGTGGAGAGAGAGAGATTATTGCTTATGCTCAGTCTTGAACCTCTGGGATTCATAGCAAAGTCTGAGCTTGTGTTCAGAAATGAAGCTACAAAGCTGTGAAGTTAATCAATTTTCAGCATGACACATCTTTCCAAATCAGGAGTGCTACCTTTGTTACTAAACAGGATCTCTGCTGCCGTTGCTGTTTAAGCCTTCCCATCTTTAAAGGACCTTCAGCAGCTCCCACTGGGGTTGTTGCAGAAGTGGGTTTCTTTTTTCAGGCTGTGTGGCTGCTGCACCCCATAAAACACCATGCCTGAGCCTCACACCTCCATGACCAGTGACTCGCTGGCCCCGGGAGGTTTGGGCTATTGGACTAGCTGTCCCACGGCACTGCCGAAGCGTCATTTACCCACCCTGAGCTGCTCCCCAGGCAGGGCTGTGCCAGGGCCCCGTGCAGCCCTCTCCTACCCAGGGGTCTCGTGCTTTAGCGTGCCTGTCAGAACCCTTGGAGGACAGATTACCTTCTCGGGGTACAAACGGGGCAGAAGCACAGGGAAGTTGGCCTCAAGTAGCACGTGCAGCTGGCAGGGAGGGAGTCAAGCTCGGTTTTCTGAGGCTGGAGTTAGCGCCGTAGTCAGTGCTCTGCCCCGGTCGGCAGCCAGAACACGAGCTGTGTTAGATAACGACAGTCTGCAGGGTGTGAGTGGATGTTCACTGACTGAGGGACGAACTGGACATCCTCACACTGCAGCTTTCCTAGGTACAGTCTAGCGCTCCTTTTGTAATTTCTGAACTGAAGTCAAGGGGCTTCTTTTCCTGCCCCCCTGCTTCTGTTGCCTTTTTCAGGTCTGCTTGGTAGGGGACTGTGTTGGAGGAATTCTAGGATTTGATGCCTTGTGCTACAGCAACCAGACTGTGTCCGAGAGCCAGAACAGCAGTCGGCGAGGAAGCGTTGTGAGTGTCCAGGTAATGCTGGCTCCCAGTGTCTACTGGGAATAGGTCTATTGGCCACAGCACCTCCATGGCCCCTGTTTTTAGGAAGGATCTTTTCATGAAACAGCACTGACTCTTTCTTATGAATGGTAAACGTGTCTTAAGGTGCATGTGTGTCTCAGTTTGGGTGCATTTGCTCTCAGCAAGGATGCTTCACCTTCTGGTGCGAAGCATCACCCACCCCTGCTTCACCCACACCCTTAGGAAGTGGTTTGGTCTGAGGTACATATTGCCCTCAACTGGATCTGGGATAGCTGGGGAAAGGAGGATAGAAGGAGAAGGTTATAACGTGGGTGTGTTCCTGATTCAGCTGTCAGAGTGATAAATCCATATATTTCAAATCCCAGGATACCGACCTCCTGTCTCCTGGAATAACCGTGAACAACAGCTATTGTTCCAGTGGCTCTAATCTGGAAGCCAGCAGACACCTCAGCAGGAGCAACATTGATATTCCCCGTAGCAACGGAGAAGATCCAAAGAAGCAGCTGCCACGAAAAAGGAGTGATTCATCAACCTATGAACTGGACACGATAAAGCAGCATCAGGCCTTTCTTTCAAGGTAAGATTTGGAAGGAACAGAACCAGGAATGTTCTAGAGCTGAGATATGGTGCGTCTGTGAAACTTGAACGTTGCTTTTTCATCCTGTGATAAGCAAGGTGGAGGAAAGTGTTTAATTTAGATTAGAGGAGTGTAGACTTCAGTTATATGCAAAAAAAAAAAAAGCTGAGTGTCAGTGAGAGAGTCAGCCGCTCTGCTGCGTCTGTATCGTGGTGGCAAGAAACCCTTCATCCTGTCGACAGCCGAGGCAGCCAGGTAACTGCTTTGTGCTCTGCCCCAAAGGAGAGCGAGATGGAGGTCATAAAGCAAATGTGTGAGGGAAGACGGTGAAGCAGAATTGGGAATCCAGTGTTGCATTCATTTCAAAGTGTCGCTGAAACCTGATTTTGGGTTGACTGGCCTGTTCTTGGGAAGGGTGGGCGTGAGCTGAGTGTCCTTTTGTTTCGGCCTGGATCAAGCGTGAGGTTGAGTTGTGGTGCCCTGTCCTGCCGCAGGAGCAGGTTTCTGCTGCCGTGGTGTCAGGGTGCTCGGGATGAGACATCCTGAACCCTAGCTGGCTGGCTGGTTTGTGGCACGATCTTCAACTGCACACAGGGATTGTTCTTCCTGTGTGGCTATTTGGGAAATGAACCCAAGGCCCCTGTATGGGGAGATTGTTTTCTGTCCCTTGCCAGGGCTGCTTCATTGCACCAAGCTCATGTTTCAGATTTGTTACTCACCATCGAAGCCCCCAGTTTCACACTCCTAAACTCCTTCAGATGGACACTCAGAAAGGTGTCCGTTCGCATAGCCAATGAAGTTTTCACGGCAGTCTCTCTGTTGCCACTGATTGCTCAGGGATTACTTCTGCAAGTCCAGAGGCTTTTTCTGACTGAATAATCTTCAGCCTGTGGAACTGGACAGCTGAGACCCTTCCCTACCTCAACATCCACTTAATCCCTCTTTCCCCACGTCCCAGGCACTAGGGAGCAATGTGTGTCCCCCCCCAGCAAACCCCACTCTCTGCATTGCAGCTCTGCCCAAGGCTGGTCCTTCTGCCCTGTGCCGAGCTGAGGGCTCATCCTGTGCTTCTGCCCCTCCTTTGCTGTTGCCTCCGCACAGGGAGTCGTGTTGTCCTGCCGTGTCAGAGGCCCTTTTGTAAAAGATTCATAGGTGAGAGAAGGTATCAAAGGGAGTGTCGCTGGCACGCAGAGATACTGTATTCAGAGAGACAGCTGCATTTCCAAAAACCACAATAAGCTGCTCGGCTGTTTCCAGCAGGATAATAAAAGGCAATCGGCCTCTTGGTCGTACCTTATCAAAACAGCCGCCTGTATTACAGGAGAAAATACAAGTCATGCAGAAATGTGCCCTTTCTCCTCCTTGTTCTTGACCTCGGGGGCAGGGACTGAGCTAAGGAAAGTGGGCTGGCATCTTGCAGCTTTCCATCTAGTCCAGAATAAGCTCTGGGCCTGACGTGGATAAGGGGTTGCACAGTTTGTCGTTACAAATCGCTTTGTTCTGGTTCTCCCTGCTCTGTCTTCCAAGCAGCGTGCCCTGTTCCAACGTGAAGTGCTTGGGGGTCCCTGGCAAGGGCTGTCAGAGGGTGCAGATATGTTGGTGCATCTTTACTTCTTTTAGGGTTTTGTATTTTTTAAATCCACCTTTAGACTTTGACTCAAAAATTAGTCTCTTTCCACAGCTAAACAGCAGGGAAAGGAGTAGTGTGAAGCTGCTTTATGAGCTCTCTCCACATCCCTCTGCTCCCTGGCACAGGGAGGGCTCGAGTGCAGTGATTCACCTTCCCCTCCTGCATGACAGCAGGGCGTCACACCCAGACCCATCCCTGGACCTTGTGCTTAGGGCCGTCATTGCTGAGGTGCGCAGCCATCAGCAGAATGCCCCTTCGGCCTCTCTGCCACCAAGTAATGATTTTCCCGTACGAAAACCAAGCCCTGATGTGACGTGGCTTCGTGCAGGAGATGGGAAGGACAGAGCCAAGCTTTCCTAGTCGCTCAGCAGACAGGCAGCCTGGCACATGGGGGCCTTTCTCCCCACACCTATTGCAGATTTCAGCTTGTGCCCAAGACACTCATTTTTATTCATCTATCAGACCTACCCGCTTCTCTGGGATAATGCCCAGCAAGCCAGAGCAGCATCTGGAGATTACAATCACACATTTATTTTTAAATTCAGTCCTTCTGCACAACTACATTATTTCTGGCTGTGCTGTACTTGTATTATTGTAAATTAGTTGATTTGCTTCTGAAATCCATAAGCTCTTGTTTAATTAATGCACACAGTACATCTGCTGCTTTTTAAAGAGAGAACAGGGCGCTGTAGGTTGCTTGGAGCATGACGGATTCAGAGTTCCCCTTGGCTCTCATTTCTTTTGATTGCTAAAAAGACTATCAAGTTCCCAGTGAAAGGAGAGAGGCTGTCCAAATGGCTTAGCGGGATGAGTGCTCTTGTTCTCTTCCGTTCCCCAGGAAGGGACGCTGTGGGAAGACGGGTAGAATACACACAAAAACCCCTTGCACCTGTCCTGCCGTAACACATCTGTTACCAAGAAAGTCTCTTTCCTGCCGTGCCTTCCTTTGAATCACGTTGCCGTCACCCTGTCTTCGGCAAACGTGTTCTGAATAACTGTGTATGCCTTCCGCGTCGCAGTCTTGTCAGCTAAAACAATTGTAGCTTCACGGAAGGTGGCTTGTTTCGAAACGTGTTTCGGCGTTGCACGTCTCGGCAGCGGGATCTCAGGGAAGCTGTTCACATCACAGAAATGGGAACGTGCTCGTTTTAGCTGTCACTGCGGTAACCTCCTGTTCCTCTCGCTTTTAACATCACTGTTTTGACTTCCCGTGATCCGTATGCTTGTTATTTCCCTGCGGCTGGTAACCAGGATAGTCCTGCGCGTGCGCACGCGTGCGCCTTTAAGGAGTACATGGCAGTGCGACACGAAAAGAAGGCTTTTTGGCATCCTTTGGGAGTGGTGGTCAGCAGGAGAGCTGTCAAAGTCCAAGTGAAACCCGTTTTTCTTCTCCGGTGTGTGAGTATTTGCAGCTGCCCATTTATTGAACGGCTGTCCCAGAGGAGGGGTGCGTGTGAGCAGCCGCTCCGCTGCTGCAGATGGTGGGGAGCGAGCCGCCCTATTTCCATGAGCACAGCAGTGCTGGGACATCTCCGCCTGGCCAGGCAGCCAGCATGCTGCCTTCAGAAGTGGCCTTGATGATCAAGTGCTGTTGCATAAGGAGACGCAGCAAGTGCTGGTGACCACCTGGGGTTTTGACTTGGGGCCGCAGAGTTGGCAAGAGACTCTTGCATTTGCATCATCCCTGATTCTAGGCCAGTAAACCTTTTATCCAACCTCACTGTTGTGGTATCCATTTATCCTGCATATTTTATAGAACCTGGTGAGATGCTTTTTTAAGTGCTGGCAAACACCCTGTTAAGTCACGGCTGGTTCTGTCTTCAGCTCTCTGCTTCTGATCGTTAATGACAACCCAGCAAGGCTGCCATCCGCATCTGGACAACCTGGAGAGCAAAAGAAACTGCAGCTTACTCCTTTTGGGTGGTAACAGAAGAATCTCAGAAAGACTTTTGTGAACCAGGTTATTAGGGTTACACATCTGTCATCGCTGTCTAATCCCAGATCTGGACTGCAGAGGAGCACCTCTTCCTAACGGGGGGTGGATTCCTGGCATTTTCATCTAAGAGTTCCTGTTGTTTCTTCCTCAGTGTCCAAGGACTTTAAATATCAGTGTTAGACCTGTGTGTTGCCCAGCCCGCACTGCACACAGGTTCAGTACAAAGAGGTTTGACCTCTGAAAGAGGGGAGAAGCTAGACCTGCTTTGTATCATTATTCTTTTTAAGTACTGTTACCTGGAGTTGTTGGGCCAGGGTTGAGAAGTAGTTTGGTAATAACTTGACCGATGTGGCCTCGTGGGCTAAAGAGAAGTGGGATAGCCCTGGGTGCACCATAAATACAATTTCCCATATAGCTACTGAATTAATGATCCCAAATTCCCCTTCCCAGACAGAAGCCGTGGTGCAGACTTGGTGCACAAGGATATTAGAAACCCTCTTGCAGATTTTGATCTTTCTTTTTCTCTCTCCTCTCCCATTTTCTTTTTGCTTTTTCAATCCTGTAACATTTGTCCAACTACTTCCACGAGGAAGAAATGGGTAAGCGCAGCTTTCCGCAACGTTTGAGAGTAAGGTGATGGAAGGAACTCAAACGTTGACAACCAGAAAGCGTAGCAGTAATGTGTGTAATGGAGTGAGTCGCTGTAAACCTGCTTCTTTCCCTGATGCTCTAGTAATTTTGGCTTGCTGGTTACTTGTCTTGTAAACGACTATCCTACTAGCATCAACCAAGATTTGACTCCTCAAAGAGAAAACATTTTGAGGAGATAGGAGTGTGTAAGTGAACCCACTTGAAGGTTGGATTTGTGCAGTCCGTATTATGCCAACGGTGGTTGTTCGGGGGGACGTTGCACTGGCTGGTAAAACTACAGTACTGAGGCATGGGGGGTTGATTGGCACAGTTCCTTCCCTAAAGAGACGGCAATTACATTCACTGTCAGTCACTTATCTGGCCTCCAGTTACCAAAAAACCCAGTGTGAATAAAATTTTTACGGTGTTTTCTGTTCTTGTCCCAGTTTACATTCTAGTGTGCTGAGAAATGACCCAGGATCCAGGCGATCTAGTAGCTCTACTATGTTGGATGGAGGAAATATTGGAAAGTTTGACTTTGAGATCACTGACTTCTTCCTCTTTGGTTCTCCCTTGGGTCTGGTTCTTGCGCTGCGAAAAACTGTCATTCCAGCTCTTGACGGTAAGTCCTGAAGTAACTGCTGAGCTTGCGTGGAGGGTGGTGTAAGCACCTCCTGCTGCACATCCAGTGGTCCGATGAGACCAACTGGCAAAGCCCCAGCATTTGGTGTGAGACTTGTTGCACCGTAAGGAGGCAGATCACTCTGTGCTCTGGCCAGTACTGATCATACCGTTTATCTGCAGTGTACTTTCAAACATTAAAAATACCAGGCAATTTTTGAGTCTGTAAATAGTGTGATAAATTGTTTCAGTTGACTAAATTGGAAGATGAGGGAGATGATAAATCTTCAACACTTTTTTTTAATGCAACAGTTGTCCTTTTTACATACAAATATTTACAATAATCTAACAAATAACCTTTTGATACTTGAGGGCTTTTTTTTTCTCCATCTTTTTAGTCTTTCAGCTCAGACCAGCTTGTCAGCAGGTCTATAACCTGTTCCACCCTGCAGACCCATCTGCTTCACGCCTCGAGCCTCTTCTGGAGAGGAAGTTCTACCTTTTGCCCCCCTTTAATATTCCCCGTTACCAGAGGTTCCCGCTGGGTGATGGCAATTCTGCTGTTCTGGGTAAGTGCCTTTGATCCATATTAGCTGTCTGAAGGGTTATATCCACACTACATGTGAAATTATCAAAGCAATTGGGAATGACAAGAAAGAGAATTGGCTCTATAACGCTAGCTTTATGCCCCATTTACCTGAAAAGTAGTTTTCTTCCAACAAAATCAGTGCCTTGTGACCCATATGCCTTTTATTTGTCACACAAGGCCATCAGCTGCTGAGTTGTGACGTGCTGACTTCTCTGTGACGGTCCCTGTTTTACACCCAGGCTGGTGCTTGTGGTTGGGACTGAATGAAACGTGATTAACTGGGATGAGTTTAGGCCTCTGATGTTTGGAGGGCCAGTGAAGACTGGAAGGAGCCGAGTCAACAGTGCGATAACGAGGTGATTTACTTGGTTGCAACCTGTGCTTTTTCCTGGGACAGGCTACTGCAGACTGGTGGGCTGGCGACAGTGCCTCGCCCTTGCCACCTTGCTAATGAGACACTGTCTTCCTAGAATATTTAGGACTCCTCAGCCATCAGTGGCCTCTTCACTTGCTCTGCCCCAATTGCAGCAGTAACAGAGTCTAAAACGCCTGTGTGCATGCCCTTTTGTCTTACTGGGTTGCATTTGAAACAACTGTGTCCTGACCATGCCCTGCCTCAGCTCCCATTACATCAGTGCTCTTGCAGTTGATTTAATAAAATAAACTGTATTTCCTACCATCCTCACTTCTGTGCCTAGACTCTCATGGTCTGTTGCCATTTCAGCGCAGGCTTTTGTTGCAAGGAGCTCTCTCAGGGAAGCTCGCCACCATGCAGAACTAAATTTGACCTTTCTCCTTCACCTAAAGCTTTGGTTCTCTGCAGGGTCAGGGCTTTGGGCAAGGAAGAACAATTCCACTGTAATTTTTCCCGTGTTAGAGGCTGTTAGTTGATGGCTACTTAAAGTCAGCATTGCAACTGAGAGTCACTACTATAAAACTGGACTTAGAGCACCCAAGAAATCATGCTGGCAAACCAGAGTAGAATATCCAAGCCACCAGCTAGAAAGAATGGGATTTGGTGGTTGGTTTTTTACCCAAAGCTCTGGTAACTTTCCATTTTTTAAAATACTTGAATCATGCAGGACTAAACGAAGAGGAATACGTATCTAGAGCTGAATAATTCTGGTGATACTCTGCATCATTTCTAAATAGAAAATCGAAAATCCGAAGCAGTGGTCTCCCGTATATCAGAATCTGTAAAGATTATATTGGAATTCCTGAATCTGGGGTCTGATTTGTTAAGTGGGCATAAACTAAACCCCGTGTTTAATGAAGCGAATAAAATACTTTCTGCAGGTCCCACTCACTTGTCGAATTTAGCAAAGATCTTGCTGCAACACTTTTTAAAAATGGATCCACCCACAATTACATTTGTACCCAGTCCAGTTACAACAGCTTGGGGAATCTGTAACAACTTGAAAAGCAGTTTGCTTTCTGGGTGTATTCTAGGTATCAGCTGCAAGTGGCTTCTTAAAAAAACCCCAAAATCCTAAACATCTTAACCTTCTTGCTCTAAAAGTACATTTTAAATCCCCTGTTCTCCCTGAAGCCAGAGGTGAAAGCCCTGTTGGCTGTGAGCAACCTGCGCTCTGGTTGTCGTTCTGTGCAGCAGGAGGGATCTTAGTTTGCCGAGTTGAGTTGGCTGTGTTTAGAGACACTTGCGATGTAGTGGAGCAGAGTTAAACAGCAATTGGCTCAACTATGAGAAGGGTAGAGTGATTTCAAAACCCTCTCCAGGTTTGAGCCTTGTTATTTAAGAGATGCTGCTCTGCTGTGATGAATAAAACTGACCAAAAAAAGCAGCTTTAAATTCTCTTCTCATGTAAGGCAAAGCCTCTTCATTTGCTTATCATAAAGTAACAGGCTATTCCTTTCCATTAGAGTCAAAATTGCAGTGTTGTGATTTACGCATTACCCAGAAGGACTGGTTTACTCCTGATTTGCAAAGCTGCTGCTGAAGTTCGTGTTCACCGTAGGGCGCTCCAGAAAAGTTAATTGCTGCTATAATTAAGCTATATGATTTGGTGATCACGTAAAGTTCAGGTGCTCAATTATAATTAGTTATGTACCAAACCTTCTGTAAGACTGCTTGTGCATATTTCCTCATGCAGATAGCTAGCTTTTTATAGTCTCTGAGTCCAAAAGCCTCTTAGACCTTTTTTTTTTGTAATTCATTTTCCCATCTGTACTGAATTTTGAGTCCCTGTTTCATTACAACCAACTTGCAGAGTGAAATCAAATTCACATCCTTGCTTACTGCTGTGCTTTGCACTGTGTAGGCTGTGAGTCTGATTCCAAGTCCATCTCCCCTTAGAGCATACCTTTTTTTTTCCACGTAGTAAAAAAGATTTCTCTGGATCTGCTGGGTATTTATGGATTTGGCTCATTGGAGAAGCTGGTTAAGAGGACTCCCTTTTCTTTTGTTGTTGAAATGCCATCGTTGTGCTCTCCTCTGCTACCAGCTAATCTCTCTGATGTGAGTCTATTTGGAAAGTCACACGTTTTGTTTCTTTTACTCTATTTGAAGGTTGTCCTCTCATTGGAGACTCATAGTTGAAGTGCTGGGTTGTAACTGTTTGTACGTTAACACTTTGTGGCTGCATGTCTGTTGTTCTTTGTCCTTCTGGTTTGGGTTTTTTTGTTTGTTTTGTTTTTTTTTTATTCCCATCTGCTTCTAGTTGAGACAATCCAGAACAATCCCATCCTCCTCATGGAAAGTAGCCCTCTGGGTGCTCTCCAGCACCAGGACAGCTTCATGGAAACAAGTATCCCCGTTCCCGTACTGAATTGGCAAGATGTTTCCAATAAAAGTGCTGGTTTTGCTGAGTGTGTGTAATCTACACTTTTGTATTGTCTATGGTGTTGGGTTCTTGGGGTGATTTTTGGAGATCATACTGTTGCCCCCGGGAGTTGAAATCTTCAGGCTGTGTCTCAGGCTGTGCCACGTGAAATAACCGCTTGGTATTGTGCTTGGGTCTGGGAGACCCACCATGAAAAGAAGGAATTGGGATTACAAACTATGTCCCATTCTGGTGTTGAGGCTAGATGGGGAGACTGCTGCCACGTACTTATTTTTTTCCATTTGTGGTGGCCCTGCTGCTGGAAAGAGGCTTTGGCACAAACAGACAGTCCCTGGGTGGCCCAGCTCGTGCGGCGTATGCCGTGCGTGGGGTTCCCTGGGGATGGAATGGGTTGGTTGTGCGCAGTGTGTGTCTCCGCTGCAGTCAGCCACACTGCACCGTGGCCAGGAGTCTGACTAATGTCCGTGTCAGGCCAGATTTTGTCCATTGGATTATGTCATGTTTGAACACTGCTGGTGGCTCTGCTGAACACAGCGACTGAGGCTTTCAGACCCCAAGTTGGCTATACGTGTCGGCTTTTTAAAATTAATTTCTTGACTTCTGCCTTAAAAGCAAAATTCAGTGCTTTTGTTTTGCCTTATTTTCCATCATAAATGCTGCATGGCCTCATTTATTCTTGTCGTGGCTGGTGCTACGTCTGCGATTTTAACGAGACTTGACTTTGCTTTAAGTTTTCTCTTTCCCGTGTCTTACTTGCCCGTTCTCAGCCCTTTTTTCAGTGTTTTGCATTGAGCGCTCGGTTCTGCTGCTTTGTCGTCTTTAACAAGCTGACCCTTGCTGTTCCCGAGCAGTCCGGTGTTATGTGGTCATACAGGATGGCAACGTTGCTTCCGTTCCAGACAGTCTCTCCCTTTGTCTTTTGAAGGTGTTGATTTTCAGTTGTGCAGTTGCCATGTTGCCTGTGCTGTCATGTTCTGTAGCAAAGCAGAGGGAAAGGATCTGGCACTATTAATTAATCACTTCGGAGGTCCCTGATGAAACACCCTTTAGCTCTCATCCCATACTTCCTGCTGTCAGGACAGAGCTTTTGGAAGCTTCTCTGCTCTTTACCCTGTGTTTCAAGACCACAGAGTGGCCAAGCAGTGCTTGGCCCGACTGTAGCCAAGTGCTGAATCGCAGTTCAGCCACTGGCCTGTGGGAAACTTCCAGCATCGTGAAAACTTACGGATAACAAATCTGTGTCGCTCTTGATGTCAGAGTAGCAACTGCAGGGTGCCCAGCACTGACCTGTGCTGAGCAGCTGGCTGGCTTTCCTTTTTCTATTCTTTTTTTATTTTTATTGGACTTTACGTATTTTTGATTGCGTTCATTGTTTCCCGCTTCAGTGCCACAGCTCAGCCTGCAAAGAGCATGTACTGAAACCTGCCGTTCAGATACCCCAAGGACTTAACTCGGTGCCAGCAGTACATTAGGAGGATGGCCCAGCGCCGTTCACTTAGTGGGAAACAATTAGTAAGAACATTGACAAACGAGTCCATAAACTAAAAGGCACAGCACTGAAATGAGTATTAAAGAACCATTTCTGCTTTTGCTTCTTGTGTCACCTCTTCTGGCAGTGCAGTTAAACCTCACCTCATCGCACTGGCGCGAACAAGTAGCTGGTCTTGATGCAAGTCTTGCTGGTGCCGGTCCAGCCATCCGACTTCACCTGGGCTCAGAGTGCTTGCCTGAAAAGCCTCCCTGGGATTGTCAGGACCTGCGTTTTGGCCTGGGATGCCAGAAGACGTGGCCCTTTAGGAGCAGGGGCGGGTGCTGGGGTCAGTCTGTGCCAGCATGGCGGCATCTGCGACATCCCACCCTGGTCACGTCGCTCCCCAAGAAAGCCCCTTAGTTTCAAAATTGCAAGAGTGGTGCTGCACAGGGGATTTGGTGCAAAGAATACACGGAGTTTAGGAAATAGGTTATTGGGGTGTTTTTTCTGAGGCTCAGGTCCCAGGGTTTCATCGCTGCAGCTTTGGAGTGAGGAAGCTTGGCTGGAGGGGCAGTAATGCATAAAGCAGGTTTGCTCTCTACGCTTCCTGCCCTGCCTTTTCCTGGCCCTGGCTTTTCTTAGAAACTGTCCTTTTTCAGGGTGTGTAGCTTGGGAAAAGGGAGAAACGTGGGAGCAACCCGAGGGGGCTGGAGCATGGGACCGAGTGCCTCTGTCAGACGGCACTTCATTCCCTGCCAAGCGAGCTCCTGCCACCAGCGTGGGCGATGCTGAACTCAGCAGTTCAGTCAGGCTAAAGCAGTTGAGGCTTTTATAAGAGTGTGAATGACTCCTCTGGTGACACTAGTGGGATGGTGTTGGGAGGGCTTTTAGGTTGGGGTTTTTTTGCTTCAAACTCACTGTATTCAAAATTCCCCAGTCAAGCCCCAGAAAAGCGAAGGTGACTAAAAGCACAAGCCCAAAATACCACTGTTTCTTCCTTTATTCTCTTTCCACTTTCTGTGTTCTCAAAAACGGAGATAAAATTCCAGCAGAGCTATGTGAAGACATGTTAATGGAGCTGGAGCCGTGATCAGCCCAGGCAGCACCACATTTGGCCCAGC